CTTTGAATCTTTGAGGTCCTCTTCCTCAATCATCTGGAGAGAACTCTGCCTCTAATGGGCTCATGTGGCTAGGTCATGCGCATCTGGACAGTCTCCCTGTCCCAAGGTCAGCTGCCCTTTACGGCAGTACCCGGATGGGCATTTGACTGAAGACTCAGGAGAAGGTGTGTGTACGCCGGGGTCCAGGGGACCATCCTGGAATTCTGTCCACCCCTCCCACCTACTTCTAGGGAAGTAGTGCGGCCTAAGTTAGCAAACGGAGGTGAAATAAAGTACTTAGCACATCCTCAGCATGTTTTGAGTAGAGATTTGCATGCAGAGAGTTAGGCGGTTGAGTTTTCAGGATTGATGAGAACTTGCTGGGGTGAGAGGAGAGAGTGAGGGGTTGGGAACAACGAATCAGCTAAAGCACACCCTCAGTTCTCGGCTGAGGGGCTTCTTCACTATATAACTGGAAACAGGAAGTGCCTGTCTTCCTTGGATGAACAACACTGACACCCTTCTTTTTTTTATTTTATCCTCACCTGAGGACATTTTTCCATTTTTTTGTTTAGATAGAGTGTGAGGGAGAGAGAGGAAGAGAGAGAGAGAAACATTGACGTGAAAGGGACACATCGAGTGGCTGCCACCCGCACGACCAACCAGGGCCGGGGACAAACTGCAACCGAGGTACGTGCCCTTAGTGGGAACCGAACGCGGGTCTCTCTGGACCACAGGCCGATGCTCTAACCGCTGAGCCAAACCGGCCAGGGCTGCACTGACACCCTTCTTGATTTTGCTGTGGCAATGGTGGTGAGGCTGGGCTTCAGGGTGACGGAGCAGGGGTGTCTGGACTGGCTCTCTTAGAAACCATTTGCTCAGAGACTTAGGAAGAGTGAAGAAGTTTCCTCCAGCTACAGGTGCAGGGATTCAGAAACCACTGAAAGAATAGCTTTTCCTGAGCCAGCCAAGAAAGAGCTAATTGAGGGGAGTGAGAGATGGGCGTCAGGACCCCGCTCCCTCTGCCAACCGCACATAGGTCCTGGCGGGGTCCATCTCAGGCTGAAGAGGCTGTTCCCTGTCTGAGCCTGACGTCACTTGCGGAAGAATCAGACTACGGGGCCAAGGCCCTGCTGACTCTGGGGAAAGGCCAGTGGCCACCCCCATCAGTAAGCACCTGGACGTTTATCCTTTCTGTGGGTTGAACTACCGGCTCCCAATAAATCCATGTTCTAAACGGGCTGGGGCCAGCATGAGGTAAACAGGAAAGAGATAAAAAAAAAAAGTGGGGGTGAGAATAAAAAGATTGTATTTTTCATCCCGTGGGTGCCACGATGGGAAGAAGCTTTTCTTTCAAAAACACCTAGACGAGGCCATTCTCATTTCTAGCTGAGTGCTCCTTCCTCTCTCCTGGCTCTTTGTCCCCCTCTCTTGTATCTGCCTCAACCTCTGGATCTTCTCCGAGCTCCCCACCACCCAGAAAAACTCGGACCAACTTACTCCCCTTGAACAAACATCTCTTTTGAAAAGCTGCCCAGTCTGTTTGCTGTGATTTTCAAAGACAGACTCAGGATGAGATGGTGACAGCAAGGAGCTGGGGGGAGGGGGATGTCAGGAGCCTCCGAGGCTGGGGAAACAGCCATGGGCACACACTTCTGAGAGATGCCGAGTCTATAACTGTGGGACGTGTCACTTTCCTGGTGTCCAAGGAAGATGTCGAGAAAGAAAGGCAGAGAGTAGGAAACTCTTGTTTCTGTTGTAGCTGCTGGAGTCTCTACACCAGTGAGGCGTGACCCGGTCTGGTCTTGCCTGTCAAGACCAGAGAAACCAACCAAAGATATGTGGGCAGAAGGCCAGGCCGAGCCAACCAGCTTTGACATGTCAAAGGACAAATGTCTTCTGGCTTGGGCAGTTTGTGGGCAGGGAAGAAATCCAAAGCTCAGCCTCTAAAGATGCAAGGACAGTAACAACATGAACGGTTACCGGCGCTCCAGGTTACCCTGCCTCCGATCATGACTCTGAAAGGAAGAGGCTTCATCGGCTGGTTGGTTTATGGCCTGAAACGGTGAGGACTACGCTTCCCTCGCTCCCTGAGCCCCTCTCCTCTTCACTATTCCAGACAGGTGTCACCACGCCTGGTGGAGCCCGGCGCTGGCTCTCTCCCTGTGATCAGTGGCCGATGACTTGGCAGAAACACTTCCCCCGATTACATTTTTAACCTACATTGTGCAGAGTTTAGTTACATTTTCAGGAGGAAACAGAGGAAGGAAGGAAGGACAGGGGGTTGAGGAGGTTTTTCCAAAGCCCGAGGGTCAGACAGCACGTGGATAGCCCGCCCCACACATCGTGTGACTTTTCCCTTCCAACCTCACTAATTATTGGCGGCCGAAGGCAAATATTGATTGAGAACCTAAAATATTCAAAACAATGTATAAGCTCCACCTTCCATGGTGTGAAATCCAAAAGGAATGTCTGGAGGCCAAAGACAGGAAATTACCTATCTCCCACAGGTGATGAGCTCAAGTTATAGAAAGGTAATTTCCGGCTTCATACCATTAGTTATTAGTGTGATGGTTAAGGAAAAAAAAAAAACAAAAAAACACTCAGACTAATGGTCTCTTCTGTAAGTGGAGAAGAATGCTGATTTGGCTTATTTCACTACCTGCGCCTCTCCTGGTTGGCAGGCGGTTTGCTGATACGATTGTTTTGGATAGCAGTTAACGTTAGGTAATTATTGGCACGGTGGCACCCACATATGTCTATCAATCCCCGGTGTTTAAGTACTGGCTGGGTTGCGGCTCCAATGAGGAGGCCGTGTCTGTAAGAGCTAAACAATTAGCAAGGCCGTTCCCGTTCCTTCCTCCGCTGTCTGGTCTCATCATTTGTCTGCGCCGAGGTCTGGAGGCTGCACTGGCCAGCGTCCCCACAGGCCGCCTACGGTCAGGGCGCTGGCTCACAATAGAGCTCCGAGGGTGATTCAGGCTCACCCGCCTAATGAGTCCTCTGGGCTCCCTTTGTGAAAGGCGTGTGCTTTCGAATATCCCTTCTGGGTCGGGAGCCGGGAGAACATCCTCTGCCTTTGACACCCAGCTTCACTGGACCCTCCTGCCGCTGACCACTCTGTTACTGCCCACAAATCTCCCTTGTGACCTCAAACATTAGAAGGAAGTCATGACTAAATATCACAACAGTGACACATTCAACCAACCACACAAAACGACTCCATTCCCTCTTATTACAGCCCCCCCCCCCCCCGGCGTTGAAATGCTCAAGATAATTTCTGATCAGGAAATGTGCTTTGGTGACATCTCATGGTGCAGAAACCAAGCTCAGTAGCGAGGGCAGGACAGGTTGCTGAGAAAGAGTTTTGCTTTGCTGCCAAAATATTCCGCCAAAATATTCCTCTAGGATTTCTTCAGGACCAAAGCAACATGGGGAAGTTTCAGGCCCAGCAACAGGACTAAGTGAATGCTCATCTACTTTTTCTTTTTATCCTTACCCGAGGACATTTTTGCATTCATCTTCAGAGTGGGAGGAAGAGAGCGAGAAGAAGAGAAAGAGAAACATCGATGTGAGAGAGACACAGTGATGTGATGTGTCATGCCACCCACACGACTTCAACCAGGGCTGGGACAAACCACAACCGAGGTACGTGCCCTTAGCGGGAACCGAACCCAGGTCTCTCAGGTCCGCGGGCCGACACTCTAACCATTGAGCCAAACCAACCAGGACCTGATCTACATTTTCAAAAGCAAGGGACTCTGCCCATAGTCCCTCATTCTTAAACCTGCAATAGACACATTGATAATCTTCTAAGGGCGGTAGTTCCTAGTTCCCGGATCCAGACTCCCGTGTTACTGATGCAGTAAAGGTAATGTTGAAAGTGGCAACGTCCAAGAAGCCATCACAAGTTGCCATTTTTTTTCCCCACACAATTGGGGATGGAATTGAGAACCACTGTCTTAGTAATAGAAAATCAACAGCCATAGAGTTGCAGTTGAAATCCACCACAGTGATTTCAGCTAATAATGCCCTTTTTAATTTCTGGAGGTTTTTCTCCCCCAGCCAGTCTTAGCACGCCAGAATAATGAGCAAACAGTGAGACTGGGCTAGCACTACAATTTATGTTCTCCCGTGCTCCCGGGGGACTGTTTACCCGATGACATCTCATTTTGAAATCTCTTGTATTAAGAAAATTGATGGGTGTGGTGTAAAAGTGAACTGTGGATGTGAGTGATATTTAGACAAGTCTATACTTCAAGACAGAGTCCTCACTCACATGACAGCTTTCGGCCATGCGCTGGGGGTCTCAGCATTGACGGTGTCCCCTTCTCCGACACCACCCCTCCCCTTGGCCCTTTTACGGAAACATCCTTCTTACATGTGTCCTAAATATGTTTGGTGTCTTTCTCCTCTACGTTTTGCTTTGGGTTACAAAAAACCTCCCAGGTAGATTTTTATTTCCTCTGTGAAAGCATCAAGCCTCAGATCGAAGTCAACCCAAATCACCAGGAAGGGACAAACCCGGTTTTCAATGAAACAGAGCGGCGACCTTTTCAGGGGACTGACGGCCTGCTTCCTGCCCCGGCTGACCTCTCAGGGGCAGAGTCGGGAGAGGTTAGAGCTGGGTTTGCAGGGAGTAGCCTTGCACTCCGGCCGCCCAAAGAGCGGAGTGCTGAATTCGAACCCGCCCTGGAATGCTCTTTGGAAACCTCATTCTGGAAAACCGAAGTCCAACAGCGACTTTCCACAACAGGACAAGAAGAAAGAGGGCGGAAATGGCCCAGGGGACCGACGTTGGGCTAAGGAGCGAGCCAGAGGCAGCTCAAGGGGGAGGGGCTGGGAATGTTTCTTGGCTGTGCGGCTGCATAGAAACTTTTTTTTTCTTTTTTTGCACTGAGATCTACTGGGGGCTGAACGCTGAGGTCCGCAGCAGCTGGTGGGGTCTGGGTGGGGAACACATACAGAGCCCAGGGCCAAGGCTGGGGGAGGGGTGCGGGGAGGCCCGGCGGGGTCCTCACCTGTTCCAGCGGGCCACCTTCCTCCGGTAGTACCGCAGCGCCTCCTGGCCGGTCAAGAGCAAGTCTTCTGGCCCGAGGACGGGCGGCTCTTCCGGGACGTTGTACAGAGGGTGGGCGAAGAGGGCCTGCAGCTTGGAGCTGGGGGCCCTGCGGCCGCCGGGATCCCGCTCCGTCCCCGGCCGGGCTCGGGAAAAGTTGTGCGCGGCCGTGCGGGGGTCCGAGGCGGCTGCGGAGTCCGGGGCCGGCAGGGAGGCGCGGCGGGCGCACGGGCAGCTCCGCGGGCGCTCCCGGGGCCGCAGCTGGCGCTGCACCTGGGGCCAGAGGTGGAAGTAGAGGTCGGCGGAGAGCAGCGCGCCCAGCAGCAGCAGGGTCAGCAGGCGGTCCCGGCGCAGCCCGGGCATGGCCCCGCCGGGCGCGCCGGCGACTCCGGGGCACGGGGGACACTGGGCGCAGAGGCCGCCTGCAGTTCCCGGGGCCGGCGGGGTCGATGGGGCCTGAGTGCTCACCGCACGGGATGGCTCCGCTTTGGAGGGGTGTCGCTCTCGAACTTGGGAGCAGGGTGCAGGGACCGCGGGGTCTCGCGGTGCTGGCGGACGTTCCTTCTCTGTGCAGAGTGGAGACCAGGGGGTGGTGTCTTCCGGGCCCCTGTTCCTGGCACCTTCTCCCCTCGCCCTCCCGCCGGGAGCCTGCGGCAGGTGAAGGGCTGGGGGCGCTGGTGTGGCTGTCCCTGCGGCGGGCGGCGGCGGGCCAAGCGGGCAGGAGCGCCAGGCGCGGGCGGCGGTGCTCGCCTCTAGGAGGAGCACGGCGACCGCCCAGCCTGGGGCGTCTCCGGAGGATGCTGTCTTCGGGCGGCTGCTGCGACTGTTCCCGCGGCTCCTTCTGCGGGCGGCGGGGGACGCCCGTGCCCCCAGCTCGTCCGGCCGAGCTCGTCTGCGCCCGACTCCCAGAGGCAGAGGTAGCGCCGGCCTCCCGCGCCTGGCCGGGCGCCCGCACCCCGCCCTCTCTGCTGGCACCTGCCTCTGGCGCGGCTGGCCAGCCAACTCCGACTCCCCTGCCGGCTCTGCCCTTCCACCTTGTCGCCCAACCCTCCCCTCGCGCCCATCCCCCCTCGCCCCAGGCTTCCCCCGTTCCCTGCCCAGGGTTCAGCCCAGTCGCTTTGGGGGACTCAAGCTGTGTGCGTGTATAAAACCTTTCCCCCTTTTCCTTTCTTCCTTTATTTATTTATTTATCTATTTATTTATCTATTTATTTATTTATTTATTTTAAAAAAGCTCCCTTAAAGCCTTTCTCCTGTAAGGTTGGCCAGTGTGTGTGTGTGTGTGTGTGTGTGTGGTCTTTTCTCTCTGTTTCTTCCCACAGGGCACACACTAGATCCAGAACATCCAACTAGGTGCCACGTGCGTGCGCTGCACGAACTAGGCGCTTAGGAAACTCCCACTTAGTGGATGAAAAAGTTTGACCTTGAAGAATCAGGCACCAGTTTTACCTAGAATATTGGTGACTTCCTGTTTGGTTGGAGTTTGATTCCAGCGGTGCCTGCGCTTTACAAAGAGGAAATTTTTCTTGCCCTGGAGGAGGGAGGGGCCCCCCTGATGACCCCACTCTGAACTTTTGCATTGAGCATAGTGTGCAAGTGGTCCGCCCAAATGAATCACCGGAGGTCGCAAGTTGGGTTCTCTCCCTATACTGTGAGGTAATGTATACTCCCCACCCCATTTTCCTTTTGAGAGAGAGGGAGGGGGAGTGTGACCTCCTGGCTCCTCAGTTGGACTGAGGAGGCAGCCCCACCCTCCTGGGTGTTCAGGAAAATACATCTTTGCCTTAAGCTGCTTGTCCAGCTTCCCACGCATGTCAGTCCTCTTCACCTCCTCCCATGGCTGGAGTCCAGACCCTCAGATAAACTGTGACGGGTGGGTTCAGACCAGAGTTCTTCCCACCTGTGTGTGGTTCAGGGGGTGATTCTTGTGGCCTTTGCCGGGCCCTCATCTATAAATGAAGATAGCAATAGAACCTTCTCCATTGGGTTATTGTATGGCTTAAATAAATTAAACTTGCTTAGAACAGCCAGCCCCAGAACAGCGTGAAATGTTTTTGCAAGAAATATGCTTACTTCTTGGTTTCTGTAGCACACTGGGATGGGTTAGAGATTGTTCATGCGCGGGACAAAAACAGCAAAGCACGGAGAAGGAAAATACCAGAAGGGGACTGTTTTCAGGACGGTGAGACTGCAACTGCAGCTGCTTTATTCAGCTGGGTACGGTGACAGCATTTGTAGGGTTTCTGGAACCACCTCCTTCTTTTCCTCTGGAATTAAATTTTAACTGGCCTCCAGTTTCAGAGAAACTTTTTGGCTTCTGCCATGTCATGGCCAGTGGATGAAGAAGTCAGACGTTGAACAGTGTTACATGTGCAATAATTATGTGGTGAACTGATCTGCATTTTTCTGGCCTGGCAAAGGACTTGGGCATGAAGCCACCACAAGTCTTGTGACTTCCATTCTCCCCGATCGCTGGGGTCATGCTCCCCGAGTGCACTCTTTGTCTGGGTTCAATTCAGGGAACAGTATTCCTAACTCAAAAGGAGGTTATCTAAACACATTTCCCCTGTCCTCTCAAGGTCAAGGGGAAAACTGTGTGGAAGTCAGGTAATAAGTGCGGATGGGGTTGGGGTGGGACTAGAGGCAAGACTGGCCAGTCAGATGCCACCCTCCAAGGTTTGTCTAAATCTCTCGTTTCCCCTCCCAGGAAAGAGCCATTCCCTTCGGCTCCTGCTCTGACTCCACATCTTGTCTCCTGGCTCCCCTGCCAGCCTGGCCCCGGGTACCTCCCCTCAGTTCACACCCAAGTTTTTTCCAGCTGTTTACAAGGACCCATCATTCCGTTTCAAGCCTCCCATTGCAAATCACCCCCTTTTCTGTTTCTCCTGCTCTCTGATGTTCTCAGGGCCTCATTGCTCCTTCCTTAGACTCTTACAAATAGACTCCGAACTGACCTCTCTGTTTCAGCGCCTCTCCTGAGCTTGGATACAATCGAGCTCTTGCCGGAGTGATCTTTGTAGCAAAGCTGATATAAGCGTGATGTCCTCACGGTGGAAAAGCCTTCGGAACTTCCTGCTGCTTCTGGATTAGGTCCCTCATGACAGGGCTTTTCGTGGTTTGTCTTCTGTCTTCCTTTCCAGCCCGTCTCCCACCTCTCCTTCATATCCGTCCCCAGTGTTCACTCTATAACACGTTCTGTCTTCCCCGCGTGCTTTACGGTCTCATAGACGTGCCTGTAATCAACAGCTCTTTCCCGTTCCCCCATCTGGAGAATGTGCATGGTCTTCCCGAGCTCTGGCCACTGAGGCACGTCCCCACATGGGTCAGTGCAGTGCCACGTGCTGCCACGTGCTGCCACAGCTGTCTGCACGCGCTCCTGCTGAAGCATTGACCATGTTGCGTCTAGTTGTTTGCGTGTGTTGTGGGTTGATATATGTCCCCCCGAATTCGTATGTTGAAATCCTAATTCTTAGAAGCTTGGAATGTGATTTTATTTGCAAATAGGATTGTGGCAGATGTAATTAGTAACGATGGAGTCCCATGGGAATAGAGCACGCCCTATGTCAAAAATGACCGGTGTTTTCCTAGAAAGGGGGAATCTGGACACTGACATATGAACACAGGGACAGGTCTGCGTGAAGACGAAGGCACAGCCCTGGCCGGCATGGTTCTGGGGTTAGAGCATCGGCCCGTGCACCGAGGGGTCACGGGTTCTATTCCCAGTCAAGGGCACATAACTGGGTTGTAGGTTCGATTCCCATGCACAGCCAATCGATGTGTCTCTCCTCACATTGCTGTTTCTCTATCTCTCTCTCTCCCCCTCCCTCCCTCCCGCCACTCTCTAAAAATAAAAAAAGATGAAGGCAGAAACCAGATGATGCTTCTACAGGCCAAGGAACATCAAAGATTGCCAGCAAACCCCCAGAAACTAGGCAAGAGGCATGCAGTGGATTCTCCCTCATGATCCTCGGGAGAGACCAACCCTGCCAACGTCTTGATCCTAGACTTCCGGCCTCCAGGACCGTGAGACCGTATATTTCTGTTGATCCAGCCACCCACACTGTGGTACTTTGTTATAGCAGACTCTGCAATCTAATACAGTACTCAGCCTGCCTTCCTCCCTGGAGGATGGCTCCTTCAGCACTGAGGGCGAGTGTCACTTATCTATGGACACGGTGCTCCGAGGACAGGGCCTGTCACTTGGGCGCTGCTCAGTAACTTGTAGCTGAGTGCATGTAGGGGAACCATTGGGGGCAGGGATCTCAGGTCATCTCTGCAACCATAGCATCTTCCACAGGGCCCTGTGCACAGTAGGGGCTTCACTTTTGGTTACAATAACACTGCATAGTTTGGGACCCTGGGGGAGACACAGAGAAAATATTCTTCATGGCTCCTGCCTTCCAGCCGCTTTTAGGATTGTCAGAGAAACAATACCTGTCTGCACCCACGAGACAATTCAGAAACAGTACCAGGGAGGACACTGGGCCCGTCAGAGAACCCGCGGCACCGGGTGTTTTCCAAGAAGCACAGGCCCCGGGTCCTCTGTTCCCTTTCATTCTAGTTACACACCAAGCTCTCCGCTTCCAGGAACTAAATCTCAAAAACAACAGAGTCAACACTTAAACATGAGGGTTCTTCAAGCTGCGAAGGTTATGCTGTCTATTTTTATCTTGCCTGTGCTCCCGTGTTGCTTAAGAAGGATGAATTTTTCCTCGTTTGTGCGTGTGGTTTTCTGCACCGGCTGCAGTTCCCCAAGTGCAAGGCCAGCACGTGTCCTCTTTCCTCTCCCTGCTCCCCCAGGACCTCGGGCACAGCAGGGCGTGCCGCTGAGAAGGAGCAATTCCTGCAGCGTAAATGGGGTTTGGGAGCGGGGTCTGAGTGTGCCCGTGCATGAGGGCAGTGCTTTCTAAAGTGTATTTATAGAAAAAATCTAGCCTCACATACATGTGAACTGTTATATTTAGTTAGAATAGCTGAACCTTAGGAATCATAATGCACCTGTTAAAACAGTGATGGGTGAGAGACATAAAGTGAAGTGACTGAGCTAACTGCAGACACCCGTGTCCCTCTGGGCTGCTGTCACTGTCCCGATGTGAGATCGAGAAACCAGAGATGGCCCGACCGGTGTGGCTCAGTGGTTGAGCGTCGACCCATGCACCAAGAGGTCGCTGGTTTGATTCCCAGTCAGGGCACATGCCCAGGTTGTGGGCCTGATCCCCAGCGGGGGGCATGCAGGAGGCAGCCATAGGATGTTCTCTCTCATCGATGTTTCCATCTCTCCCTCCCTCTCACTTTCTCTCTCTCTAAAAAAGCAAGCAAGCAAGAAAGAAAAAAAAGAAACCGGAGACAGATTTGGTGTTGTAGCCAGTCTCTTTTATTCTGAACTAGAAAGTCCAGAATTTTCTATTCATGAGCAAAACATGCTGCCTGAAAAGGCCAGAGATTTCTCCAAGCGCAGCCTGTGGATCTGAATTACCTGGGGGTGTTTATCAAACTGCAAACTCCAGGGTCACACCCTCCACCTAGTGAATCAGATGCTCTGGAAGTGTAGCCAGGAATGTGTCAATCGGCCGAGTCTTAGAAGGTCAGGAGGTTCTACACACCCTGAAGTCTGACCGCGATG